GCGGGCCACATGTGGCCCGCGGGCCTTGAGTTTGACACATGTGTTTTAGGGAAATGCTTGCTGCTATAGATCTGGGTAGATCTGGGTGAGGCTTAGTGAAGTCAACTTTTGCAGGAAATCACAAGTAATTAATGAGTCAACGCGCATTATAGCATTTAAAACTGTGTTTACTTTTGTGTTTACTTGGGTTATGTATGTTTAGCTTAAAACACTCATTTGACTCTTACCTTAAATGTTTTATATAATCAAAAAGAAACCAACAGATATCTGTGAGAGGGCAAATACATTCTAAGACTTATGAATTAAATTTATAATGGCTTCCACAAACCTGAGCTACACAGCGACTCACCATCCTTATAAAAAAAAAAACAGCCATCAACTAGCAATTAGGAACTAGCAACAGCAGCATTGTAAGGGACTGCTTAGACTGATCACCACAAGCTCATAAAATAAAACCTTTGACGTTGAAAACAGTTCAAATTAGTCTCATCTCTTGTTTTAAGAGTGGGTGTTCACTCGTCTTCATCAGCCAGGAAAACTACATTTTGACTCCGTGCTATGATGCCTTTTTATTCCCACTTTGCTGGTGTCGAGGATAACCTCTGGATTTATGCAAGACAACAGACGGTGGGTTAGGGTAACGCGGTAAGCTGCATGACAATAATCGACTGAAGACGCACCGAAGACGGAATGCTTGAACACAGCGTCCCGCAGGTAGTCAGGTAGTACGCCTAGACTTTAGACTTTATTGTTCACAAAGGGGAAATCACACCCATCCATCACCGAGACAACACCAACCAACAACCAGGTAGACAATAACATACAACAAGACATAAAACAGGTGTGGCAATGGAGGCTGTACAGTGGCTGTCCTGGAACTTGAATGCATCTCTGAATAAATTTTTTTTTTTTAAATGTATGTAGTTATTGAAGTTATTGAATCTATCCCTTGACTATTGCAGCATGCGGTCACCATGGAGACTATGGAGACTACAGATGCAGCCAGGTGGCTCACCATGTCCTTTTCACTCCTAACATCAAGCAGCACTAACATATGCTGACAGGGACAATTGGGTTACCCCTACAGTTGTCATGTCTATAAATCACTATATAGGATACGGGTAAAGTTGGGAAGACCCAACACTTCCGTACTGAAATCAAAGTACAATTCTGACATCTCAGCCTGCCATCCCAGAGACAGGAATTAGACAGCGTGGGCATGTATCTTTGTGAGTCTGTTGGTTCGGATATTTGCTAAAATTCTTCTATCAAACTCGGTCCAGTGCTGCTGATGCTGCCTAATGTGCCTACCAGGTATACCGAGTCTGTCGACCTGCAGCTGGTAACTCCGCCTGACAACACTGTCACCCCACACTTGGGTCAAAACTACGTGCAAAGATCACCATTCCAATCTGCTCAATGGTAGACTTAAACAAACAGGTCACACAAGGCCTTGAAGATTAGCTACAGACTGACAGCTAAAGCTCATCACTACTTTATGGGCAGCTTGTTGGAAACTGAAAATCAGCTAGCAGGTTACTTGTTGCTTCTCGTTAAAATGTGTTTATGTGTTAGAATCAGGATTTACTAATAAACTTGTTTATGACGGTCTTTAAACATCTCTTCTTACTGTCTCCATGGCGAGCATGCGGTATTTAGCTAAGTGGGAATAAGTAATTTGACAGGGTGGCGACAGTAGTTGGAGTTTGTCCAACAATCAATTGGTTGCTGGTCCAATTCCATCTTTGTCCTCCTCTGTTGTTGTGCCCTTGGGCAAGACACTTCACCCGCTTTGCCCGTTGGAGGCATGGCAGCCTCACCTCTGTCAAAGTGCCCCAGGGCAGCTGTGGCTACTATCCAGAAGCTTGCCACCGTGAGTGTGAATGAATGAGTGAATGAGAGACTGTAGCGAGACGTGGTTTGTGGTCCTCCGGTCCAAAGCGGTATACAAGTGTAAGCCGTTTCCCATTTTATAAGAGAGAGCTGCTGAAACCTGAACAGAGTCCTATGTGCATTTCTAACCTTTTCAAGTTGTAAATACACAGATGACCGTCAACACGTGGCTCATTCCACGGTGAATTAATCGGCTCCTCGACAAACCAATCAGAGAACAAGTCTTAGGGTTTCTGACAGCAAACATGAAACTAAGACAGAGTTTTACCCACAAGCATGCAGCTGCCACTGTCAACCGAGCTCCAGCTCCACAGCTGCTTCAAGGCACCAAAACCAAACTTTACCATCTATCCCTTCCTTTCTCTGCAGAAATAAGGTCTTCTCCTCCACCTCGTCCTTCTTCCTTCCCTTGTCCTCCACAGAGCAGGAACATCTGCTCAGGCCGGGCTCCGGCCTGGAAACATGTCTTTGTCCCGGCCCGTTTAAAACATCCCAAAAATACAGACGGCCCGGGCTGGAGAGGAGCAGAGGGAGCTCACGTTTCACTGTGGTTAACTGAGCGCAGCGAGTCCCACATCTGGAGGGTGTGAGTCCCGCTGCCGATCTGCCTCCCACCTTGCTCCCATTGGACGGCCAGACGTGAGGAAGGAGGGCCTGAGGTTTCCTTCTGTTCCCCTGTTCCAAGGAGGAGGGAGGAGAGAGGGAAGAAAGGATCAAAAGACAAAAAAAGGGAGGACAAAAATAGAGGAAAGGGAGGATAAATCGACAGGAAGAGATGTAGTGTGATTTTGTAAGTTTGATCTCAGATGTAAATCCTTTTAGACATGGTTAAAAAAAACCCACACACAGTTAAAAGTTTTGAATCAACTGAAGTTTGAAGATTCTTCATACCAGAATGGAAAAGGAGGGTTGAAAACAAACAGGAAGGAGGAATAAAAGCCGGAACTGTCAGATTAGACAAACAGAACATCTAGGATGTAATGGAGAGGGGGGGGGGGGGGGAAGAAGAAAGAATGATAGTGATAATGACAGAAAGCAAGAGAATGATGTTCATAAAAAAAAGAAAATTGGTTCTTTGAAGAGTAAAAGTACAAGAAAAGGGAAGAATGATGAGGGATTTGCCAGAATGATGTGTTCTCTGCTGATGATCAGATCTGGAGGATAAGTGCAAACAGGAAGGAGGCAGTTTATGACCTCAGACTATCTGCAGTTGGCACCACCAACATAAATTATATGTATATATATATATATATATATATATATACAAAAAGCTCTTTCTGTGACTTTAATGTCAACAATTAAACTTTTCTGCAGCAAAAGAGCGAGAACACATGGGTTCGTTCAAAATCAATTACTCTTCTGATCAAAAGGAAAGCCACTGAGGCTCTGATCAGTCAGAACAGTTAACAGTGTTTATAGTCGGCTGATGACATGGCCTCGTTCAGATTCAGATGATGAAAGAAGTTGTTCGAGCTGCGAGATTCAGACCATTTTTTCCCCCCTTTTAGTCCAGGATGTCGAGCGGACACAATTACTTCCCATATGCTGTTCTTTATAGGACAGACAAACAGGAACGAGGCCAGGAATAGTTCTGGGGATGAAACATTTTATGAACTCATCTCGAAAAAGAACCAATCAGAACTAAGAATAGAAAGTAAAGTTCCAAAAAAGTACATTTGAGAAAGAATTTTGACAAACCTCGGTTCCCAGTGACCGGTGAGAAGTGCAAGAGAAGCGAGACTTTAGGTTATAAAGTGACTATTTATTTACGTTTCAGTGAGAGGGACAAAGTGAAATTCAATTTGTTGAGTTTTTGAGAAACTACGAAAGTCGCTCAAATCAAGAGAGCAGCATGTAAGGACAAAAGTTTTCATTCAGAAGTTCGGTACGGCTGATTTCATATTGAGTTGTGCTTGATATCAAACATCAAACCTGGGTTACTTTTCACGTTGTCATTTGTTTTGTATCAAGAGAGCTTCACGGGAAATAATATTCAACCATTTATCAAGTGTCTTCAACGAGACTGTTACATGTTGTAAGGAAAACTTCAAAAGGAGATAAAAAGTAAAAATCAAGTCGGAGTTCGTTTAACAATTTGGCTTGCCAAGATGTCTACCGAGTGCAACGCTGTTCAATATTCCAGGAGCAATTTGTTGGATGATCTATGAATCATGAGTACCAAGTCACTGGGAAAAGTGGCAAAGAAGTGGCTCAGACATCGAAATAGCACTCTTGTGTTTGTTTCTCTGGGAAAACTTTTCATCCTTACTGACGACTCTCTGAAGCTCTGCTAATAAAAACCTAGAAATTCACGAGCTCTATTACTGAATTCAATCAAACATTATTAATAAAGCCCTTTTCAAACAGTCAAGCATAACACAAGTACAGACATTTGGCCTCTAGAGAGGCACACAATGAAATGATCAACTTAATAAAAAAAAAAAAAGCAAACCCATAAAAACAAATAGTTATTGATAAGAAACAGAGAAATGAGGGAATTATAGAGAATGGTGGGAACACAATTGATTAATTTGTATTAACAGTAAACATTACAGGAGGTTATTCTGTAAATTTACATCGATGAATCAATCAAGAGCAAGTCTGTGTTGCATCTTTCATAATTTCAGTAACGTAGCAACAGAATTCTCTCGACTGAAAATACTTAAATCCAAACAGTGGTAAACATGTGAACCTTAGTCAGTTGCTAACAAGCAGCAGCTGAGTGGACACTGATGAAACATTTCCCACAACACTGATGAAACATTTCCCACAATGGACTCCGTCATGGACTGGCACAACCTGGAGCACTTTTTTGAAAAGTATATCTTAACTGTAAGTACAAATATCGTTGTACTGTTCACCAGTTAGATGCCGACACACCTGTGCTGTGGACTTAACGTTTAAAGTTGCATTAAAGAGACGGCATCATGCACAAACAAGTAACAAACTTAAGACATTTGAGTTTGTAATTTGATGCTTTAAAATCTTTAAATAGCTCCTGCTCTTTCTGACACTCCACCTTCAGCGTGTTATCACAACAATAAAACATTAACTAATAGTATAATTAACTAATTAATTAATGGTAAAAGGCCTTGGGTTTGGTTAAATCCTACAGGTTCCATCTGTGTTGTTTACCGAGTGTACCCTTAGTGAAGACATGTTGCTGCGTTGTTGTCCCATTGTTTCTTTTTCCATTTCATTTCTGTGAAACCTTTCTGTTTACAGAAAGGTTTTATGTCGAGTTACATAAATTGATGCCATCTGTTAAAAAAATGAAGTATTCACGATGCACTCCAAAGACCTTTGGTCTGAATTTACATCATCGTACGCATGTTTGTCTTTGAATCCAAACTCGGAGAATCAGACGCAGCTGCAGCGCTGCTCAAAAACTCTTTGGGATTTCTGATTTCTTCCATAATTTTTTGGCTGCAGGACACAAAACAAGAGGAGATTAAAGATGTAATCAAAGAACTCATGATCTGCTTGGAACAGAACAACACAGGTACAAACTAACACGTCTGGTGCTTACCAGGGCTTAAAGTGACTTGACATAAAATTACAGTTTGAGAACAACACCAAGTCTATTCAGTTCAATCAATTTATTAACAGTCAATCCCAAAAGGAAAGTGCTTACGCATCGACTCTTTGAGAATATTTTCTATTGGAAAAGTGTGACTGCATAGCAGTTCCTCTATTTACCAAAGTGTTCTTGAGTAAAATATCAGGTAATTTGTCCAAAAACTGAAGCTTTATGCAAGCTGGGTCATTAATATGATAATAATTCCCAAACAAAGGAGCAAATTTGCATCATAATAGCTGAAAAAAGAGCCGTTTCAATGGTCCAGTTAAAGACCAGACCTCGACCATGATTAAAATGATTTGGTGGGTCCTTCAGAGAGCTTTTCAAACCTGAATGTACATAATCAACTTCAAAAATTCCTTCGCAACGATGCGAGAGACTGATAAGACAAACATCAAACCACTGCTGAGTTATTTGTTAAAGTTGGCTCTACAAGTCGCTTATTCACTCAATTTAATTCTGTTTAACAATACATTATTATTTCCAATGGAAAATTAGATTTTGTAATAACTCAGATGATCCAAGTTTCTTCAAAGAAATGTTTTTATTCTTGGACATTTAACAGTATCCAGATGGAGTATTTGAAGAAGTATTTGAAGACCCCCTGGTTCTCTGAAGCTTCGAGGCCAGATTGTCTGACCTCTGAAAACATTATATATTGTTTTGTTTGTTTGTTTCAGCTGAACATAATAATAGGACTTTGGATGTCTTGCCAAGCAACAGCACCTTTTCTATTCCCCCTTCAGTTCCAGAAAAACTCGTGGACCTCACATTTAAACCACAGATAAAGTAGAGTCCTCTCTTTTCAGTTTTCTGGCATTCTCAATCGCAACATCCTGTCGTTAAAGCTGCGTTTCAATCTTTTTATGCAGTAACGTCTTGTCTACAGCAAAGCTCGGCTGTAAGTTGGACCTAGACTTTATAGTCAGAAACACTTGGAACTGTGAGTACAACCCAAAGGTGAATGAACTTCAAATGCAACACTTCCAGAGTGCTCCTACTGCTGCCAATACATGTAGAGTTTGCTCTTACCTGTTGTTTTTTGTTGTTTATTTCTGTTTATTGTTGTATTTCAGACTTTTCCAGCAATCACCATAAGAATCCGTAAGCCAAGATCGACAGCAAGACTGTTTAGAAACGGGACACTTGTTTGTGCAGGAGCCACGAGGTCAGTGTGTACTCCAGATCCTGCAACTCTGTGTGCTGGTCTCACTAAAGTGACCTTCTCTTTGTCCGTCTGGGCAGCACTGACGAGTCTCACCGAGCAGCCAGGAAGTTTGCCCGAATCGTGCAAAAGCTCAACTTCCCGGTCCGCCTTCTGAACTTTCAAATCAAGAACATTGTGAGCTGTGGCAAATTCTTCCCAGTTCACTTAGCAGATGTTCGACAGGCATATAGTAAAAAGTGCAGGTCAGGACAACTATTTACGAGCAGTAACGTACAGTGTTTGCGCCCGCAGGTGATGGGACTGTAAGTGACTTGTAATGTCCAATATGGCCAACGAAGAACTGAAATGTCGGCATCGCTGTTGAATCCTTGAGACCTTGTTGTCAAGCAGTACTCGGATGCATTGTAAATATTTTCTTGAGAACAGATTTTTGAAATTCATACTTGTTCATAAAATTCTCCTAAGTCCGACATATCAAAGGTGATTAAGACTTGCGGGTAACAGATGGTCCCATCCCACAATGGATAATGTTCAGCCATGAGTCCTGGTTTTGACTACCATGTTGCACCTGTAGACTTAGATGAAAGAATACACATTCATTTCCCAACAAGTAAAGACAGATTTCTCAACAAATGTCCTGCAATGACCATGTGAAACGTTTAAAAATGTAATTTTCAAATTCTTTGCAAAAGTAGCACAATGACAACTGTTTTCACTATTACCTGAACCACGACTCTGACACTTAAATCAATCAAATCACCATATTTTAAGGAAGATTTATCCATTTTTTTGTTTCCAGTAATTGATCAGTGATTGGTGACTGCACCAATCACTGATCACTAGCTGTGCTCGACAACGCAGTAACTTTGTCTCTCGTTTTGTGTCGTGATGACTCTTCACAGCTACCATCCGGAGCTGTTCCCAAGTCTCTTTTTCCGGGGGCTTCCTGGAGTCACTGCCACCGTCTCTCCAAGTGGCAGTATAATCCTAAATGGTAAGTTCCATCCAACTGTGTATCAATCACATTCCAGTTACTTATGCAAACACATTGCGAAGCACCGTGACAAATGTGGATCACCGATTCCATCAAGAGTGAAGGATGAACCCTGCAGCGTAGCTCTTCGTTCCTCAAAGTCGATTCGAATTCTGTGAAGTTCTGAGATAATGTTTGTGGGTATTATTGAGATTCTCGTTAACATACATCTAACCTTTGACTGGAACTTATGGAAATTAGCAATTTTATAGGTTTAATTGGTTCTTTCATTGGTCTATAGGGGTCATTAATATTGTGCTTCAGCTCATAAAGTCCCATCATCATACAAAAGGGAGGAGGAAGACAGCCGGTTGTTTGGATTGAAGATAGGCTGTATAGTTTAGGTTGTGGTTAGGGTTTGTTTGGTCCAGCACACGCAGTCTGAAATTTTGTATGGTTAAAGTGATGCCAAGGGTAATTTTGTGCAACTGGAGCAACTGATTTGACTTTTCAGAACAGGTTTGGAAGATTACTGAGCACACCTGTAGAGTGAAAGTAAAATAAGCCTGAGGTTTTGAAAATTCCAGGGATTGTCACATTTTTGTTGTTGTTTCCAAATGCAAATTAAGTCTGCAACATGTTTACTTGAAGCAGAATATCGGGTTCTGTTGAAGTTGGTGTTCTTATTGATCTGTTTGGTTCAGCAGAAACAAGTTTCAAGTTTTCTTTAACCCTCCTGAATTCTCTGATAGCACATTTCCTAGAATAGTGTTGGTTTTACAAGTGATCCGTCTATGAGAAAAAAAAAACATTTTATGTGATATTTTGAGTCTTTTAGGACGTTTTGTAGCATCGTATTAGAAGTTCTACTATTCCAGTGGATGTACGGCTAAAACTGGAGGTTTCACTGTATTTTTCTTCTGATTCTGGTGGTTTCACAACGACCTCTCAGGTCCTGTAATTATTTCTTGTGGAAACTCCACAAAAACCTAAAATAGGCCCAGAAATACTTTGAAAAAGGGCCGAGGACATTTTAAATGTTCTTTACTCATTCTCTCACTGTTGCGCGCCACTTCTCTTTTTCTAGTTCTTTTCTGGGTTCCTCAGTTGTTGCTCTCAATTTCATGGCACCCTGGAGCCTCATGAGAGACACATTTTGGAAAATCTCTTTTTTGCTGTATTAAAAGTTATTGGTTGGTCTAGATCACCAGCAATGCTTATTTTCAGGGGATTCCCAGAGAGCCTTACAAGGTTCTGCTTTAATTTCCAGGACCTCGAACTACTGAAGAGCTCCATAAAGCATCAGAAGACATCTCCCTGATCCTGAGCCCCTTCAGGAAGAAGTGAAAACTAGAAGTGCTCTACTTTAAACTGCCTGTGAAATATAAACAATTTTGAATAATGCAATAAGTCTCATTAAATTGTTTAAGAGAGAAAGTTTGGGCTGTACTTGTCAGACTGGTTATTGCTGTTCCTCAAAGCACCACTAGATGTCATCATGGTTCAGTGTAAGCATAGGTTCTGTTTCAGTTCTGGTGGAAGCTGATGTGGATCCGCCAGTTTGATGGAGTTTCAAAGCATTTTAAATAACCATAATGAGAATCGTGGACAAAGACTCAAATACGGAGAGTTTTAGCTCAAGAAGCGACTTTCCGTACACACGTTTAGTTAGGCCCAAGTGTTACAGCAAACAGAAGCTGTTAGGATTTGGAGAAATCAACACTGAAATATTTTATATTATCCAAACTTTTTAGTCTGTCTACTGACAGACTGTTCAGTGTTGTCAGTGTTGGAACTGGGAGAGTTTTACCAGAACAAAGAGACAAAGATTGGAAATGCGATTTAAAAAAACCCCCAAAAAACAAAAAAAAAACAACCCTGAAACATGTTGGATGTCAGCAGAGCAAAAAGCATGTGGGTCAAGGCAGAAGGTATGTGTGTATAGCTGATTTTCCTGCTTTACACTAAAACCATTACCAAAAAAATATACATAACAAATACAAAAATGTGAAAAGAACAAAAAGAGAGGGGAAAAGAAAATTCATGAAAATTTTGGGGAAAAAATCTGTCAATATAGAGTCTTAGATGATAAAAATGTGATCGCAACAGAAAAATGGTAAATTGAATTTTTTTCTTTCATTTGAAAGCTTAGTATTAGGAGAAGAGTCCAGGTGAAAGCTGAGCAGATGCAGGCCCTGCTGACCGCTGGGCTGGAGCATCCTCCTCGCTCCTCTCAGGGGGATGACCTCCTGACCTCTCCCCCCCCCCCCTGCACGTTTTTACCTCATGTCGATGGTTTTCCAGTTCCACCTCGTTTTTTCAGCCCATGTGTTTGTTTCCTGCTCAGTCTCCACTCTTCTCCGTCAAGCTTGTTGGAGATTTAAACCCTTTCATTAAATTATTTGTGACCTGCATCCCTCCTCGTCCTTCCTCTGGTTTATTTGATCTGGTTTTCACATCCTGTTGCTCCTGCTCCACTTGGCTTCAGCTGCTTTTCTCTCTTAATAACATCCTGACTTTCCTCTGAGCCTAATATTACCAAACGGTCACACCCTGCGTCTTCTCGTTGCTCAAACACAGTGAAAATCAACTAAATGTTGTGGATTTTGGACAGTTCTTTCTATTTAGCTTTTGTGTGCTCCACATGAGACTGCTGGCATAGGCTTCCATCAGTGTTTTTTGACAGTATTTGTGATATGCAAAGCACTGCAAGTGAAATTAAACCAGAAAATGTGGACTGAAGAAGAAACCCGGTGACCTGATATCCTTGGTGTTGGTCAGGATGCCAGCAGCAGAATTTAGGATGAGTTGACTTTTCTACTTACTAAAAACCAAACAAAAAAAAAAATCATCCAGCGATTTTTTGGTAACACTTTATTTGAAGGGGTGTGCATAAGACTGACATGACACTGTTATAAACATGACATAACACCTGTCATGAACATAAAGAAGTCTTTATGAATGTTTATGACAGTTGTCATGAAGTGTCATTTGGTAAATAATCACACTTTTAATACAAAGTTGCTCTAAAAGTTGCATTGAAAGTCCATTAAAAGTGCCAACTTTGCATGATTTTGTAAATTATGGTAATTTAATGCAAAGTGGTCCAGAACCATACGTGACCTTGTGGTCTGCTCTGACATTTTCCTGATGGGTCTTCATCTCTAAACTTCTTCATCGATTTGTTGCAACAACCAAAGACTTCTGTCTGTGTTGCACTAAAACCGGGCAAATTCTGATTCATCCATTCAAACAATGAAAACACAGATGATAAACTTTCAGAAAGTAAGAAACGGAAGCACCAGGATATTTGGTGCAAAATGAACGTCTACTAATAATCATAATAATAAGAAAAGCTACTTTTGTAACAGTTTCAGGTAATACAAAGAAATAAATCATGTGCTATTTGCCCACTTTGTTCAGAAATAGATCTTGTTTTGGGTTAGAAAAGCCTTTTTTTTTTTTTTTTTTTTGCAGTCCTGTGCATATTTAGTAAGCTCCTCTTCCTTCCGGATAGTTTTCCTGCTGGTTGGAAGTGTCTGGAAGAGGTCACATGTTTGGAAAAGGTAACTGTAGGTTAAAATAATGGAATGGTTTAGTCTCAAACTAACATAAACATGTACAGTCGGATCTACTGTCAGCTGCACCAGCAACTTCCTCCCAGATTCTCCAAGTCTGCGATTTTATCAGCTATCTGTGATGTTTCTGGTTTCTACAGGGAGCCACGAAATACCTTAGATTATAAGTCTCCACTTCAGAGTCAGAATGTGTCTGATAACCCACAACTGAGGGTGGGTTTTTTTTTTCTACTAGTTTTCATCAGCTCAGCACTTTTTAGGGGGCCTTGTGGGGCCCCTGGCGGGACCGAATACTTTTACTGAAGTCTTTTTTTGGTAAATGGAGGATGTGAAGTGACAGAAATGCAAAGTCAACTTTTCCAGAGCTCTGATGCTGGAGTTTGGATGCACCTGTGAAGGCAGGAAGCGGCGAAAGGAGGAAGAACTGAAAGTCAGACGCGAGCAGCAGCAAACTCGCTGTCTCCACACGCAAGGCCCGAAACCATCTGGCGAAGGGGAGGAAGTGGCGCGCCACGCCGCCAGGGACTCGAGTCCAAAACAAATAACTCGGATCGTTCCCGACCCAAAAGAAAAAAAAGAAGAAAAAAACTGAACTGGGAAGGAAGCGATTCAGCACTCGTGCACTGTCCCCGCGGTGTTGTGATTTTTGGGAAGGAAATTTAATTTGTTAATCATAAAAAATGATCAGTTCTTCAGCTTCGATTAAAAGCAAGAGAAGAAGAAAACCTCCAGGAAATGCGAAGAAATGCTCCAAGAGTTGGGAACGTTCAAACACCAGAACGCCAACGCAGACATTTTTTTGTTTTGTTTTTGCCTTAGCTTTTGATCCTACTGGGGATCCTACTGGATTCCCAGTAGGCGCTGCAAAAACAACACCTGATGGATGTTTAGGCGTTGCTCCAGATGTGCACAGCTGCATTTATTTTGTTCAGAACAGGCTGATGGATGTTGGGTCGAGTACAGACATTCATGAAACTAATTTCTCTCGCACAAGGATCCATCCAAGAGAAATGTGTAAGAAGTAGTGAGGAGGACGTCTTCAAAAAAATAAAATCTGATCTGAAACAGTCTGCTGCTCTTATTCATTGCATCAACACCCACAACAAGACTGCATAGCTGTCATCTATCATCCCAAAACCCATAAAAAAATAAACTAAAACATCAACCCAGAAAACTTGCAGGAACTACAATTCAGTTGGCAGGTGGGCCGCGAGATGGAACGGGTGGGAAGTCGGTGTTTTATTCTCACCGAGCTGGACGAAAACTTTGGCTCAGAGTCAGCAGAAGCCCTGAGAACTTTTCCGCTGAACTAGATTCAGAGCTGCACCTGCAGGTGGAGTCTGAGCTGCAGACTGGTGGACCAGAACCACCTGCTAATCATAACCCATTTAAATGAGACCTGCATTGTTTTAAATTAATCACCGCGATCCAACTTCATGACCTACTTTTTTTTTTCTCCTCTGTACCTAAACAGAAAAGCAGATGTAGTTTAAGTCTGCTTTCTTACTTTACCAGAATACTATGGAGACCCCTTGGGGACATGGGGGAAATTTTGTTTCTTTTCCATTCCCATGCAAAAGATTTTGCTTTGTCTCTCAATAATGTATGTACTAGTCTGTTCATGAGGCATGTTGAACACCGAAAGTTATTTTGCTACGGTATAAAGTTTTTGTAAGGTTTTTACAAGTATGTTAATATCTCGTTTGTACAATATCTAAAGTTCTACATCCTTTTCTTCAAGATACAAGATACAACCACAAACTTAGGTGCAATATGCAAAAGCAAAAGAAGTCCAAACATGGGCTTGTTCAAATTTAAATGAACTGTATACACACAGTACAAGCAAATCCTACAGAACATCTTCAAAATGGGTTGAATGAAAAGGGCATGTCGTGAAATGCGATGGTATAAGGGGTTACGGTGATTGGTCAAAATTCAACCAAGTTCCAGTGATTGGTTGCCTTTGTAGAAAAGCCTGCGCAAAATTTACGAATGATGAGTGAATTCCCATTCACAACATCGCAACTTCATGGAGGGACTGATTGGAGATGTCCTTACAGAAATCAAGACGTCCCAAGGGGATAACTGGGATGTGTTTCCCCCCCCTTGACTTTGTATGAAACAAAGTTGGTACATCAAGTAGAAGACTGTTATTTGATTGGGTTTGCTTCACACTGCTAGAATGTTCATTTCGTGCCACAAAGTGAAACAACAGGCTGACCGTCGTCCTCAGACTTTTGTGGATGTGAAAGAGGAGCTGCTTGAAGGCCTCAGAGGAAACATCCGATTCCTCCCACACGCTGGATGCTCAGCTGTAGGGCGGAGACCTCTCAGCCAACTCCTGCTGGTCCTCTTTAAAAAAAAAGGGATGCAGTTTTGTTGTGTGTCATGTCTATCCTCAGCAACAGCAGCTCAGCTGTCTCCACTCACATTCCACAAAATTGACCGGTTAAAACTAAACGTTTCCATGAGTGAAAACCGACTGCAGCAGACTAAACAGAGCCCAGGCTCTGAAACGTGAAGACCGCAGGACGTTTCTGTGATTTATTGGGTCGCAAATCTTTGTTACGACTCGGCTGAGCCTCGTGTCAGGTACCGGACGACTCAAACCAATCAGAACCCATCATCTCTGGTGTGACCTCGATGATGTCACGGATCTACCGTCGGATGAAGGGAACCATGACTGTAAAGAAAGAGTATACCATCCTGGTTTCCTGCATCCTTATTCAGTCGGACCAGATTCAATTTGTTTGACAGATTGAACCGGAGAATCTCTGAAGGGAGGAAAGAGTTAAAGCTTCTTCTGGCAGTCTGATGGGAGGTGGGCTGGGGGTTTGGGAGGTGTTGGAGGAAGGCGCCCTGTCTCCTCCCCTCCTGCTCTCCCTCTCTCTCTGCCACCTCCTTCTGTTGATAGCCATATTCCCTCATTTCTTCCTGCAGGGGGGACGGTACGGAGCGGAGGAGCGAGGCACTGACTGAGTCTCCACGAGTTCACGTCTGCAGTCAGGAACACGACCCAAACAGCCATAGGAATGGAGCTCTGCTCTCCGCTGCAGTAAGTGGATTTTCATCTTTTTTTTTTTTTTTCTCTTTCCCTGCAAGAATTCAGCCTGCAGGGCGTCGGGTTTTTACAGCCGTGACAGGCTTCACTTCCACCACAGCAATGCAATATTCTGCAAAGACAATATTGCAGCGTTTCATTGAAAAATCATGTGTTCACCTTCATCTGATGGTGTGCAACTCTTTTTTTCTTTGCAAAACAATGCAATGAGCCGAGTGTTGAGTCCGATGTTTTTCTTGTATTATAAACTAAACATATCTTAGGTTTTAAGGCAAACAAAATAAGATGTCAAAAATCATCATTAGAGGCTTCCCTGACTGTGTATAACAGCAGCTTTGCTCTGGATCAATCTAATGAAAAAAGGGTAAAACAGCACAACATCAGAGGCAAGAAAACCTTGGAAAGGAGCAACTTGTATACCAGGAAAGTTCAGTGAGCAAGGATTGTTCAGGCAAGCCGACAGGAAGAGAGAAAAAATTGACAACCAGCTGAATGGATTTAAAGTGGAGACACAAGCAGCAGGTGAGAAACCAGGTCTGTGTCAGGGCTGTGCGAGGACACCTGCTGGACAGATGCAGAATCACAGACTCAAAATGAAAAAGAAAAGAAAAGAAAAGATACCCAAATGATACTCAAGTTTTAAAGTACACATGGATCCACCTGGTTGCAAAAAGTGAAACAGTTTTCCCTCAAAGTCATGTCATTATTTATCCAGTCGTTAAGTAACTTAAAAGGACATATAAGATTGGTAGTTGGTGTTTATAATAATTTCTTATGAAAATCTCCCACCTTTACTACTTCTTCCTAATGAGAAAAGATTTTGCTTTTTAGGCATTTTTATGCGAGTAGCAGGATATGCGTAGTGAATTTGCAACTTCTTATTAAAACGCAATAGACAATAAAAACCTAGGTGCAGGCTGCAAAATAAAAGCTGCAAAGTAAAAGCATAATAACATATATTTGTAACACACCTACCAAAAGTTAATAACGCAAGCCAAAGGTTTAATCTGCTACACTTTATTAATGGGTGCTTTTCTGAAAAGAAATTAAATTTTATTTATAAATGAAACCACATTGTTTAACAGAGATGTTAAACAATAAAAGTGCCATGTTCACAATTAATGGGGGGGAAGGATATACTGCCTGTTGCTTTTAATTAGTCATCAAACTTGCAGTAGGGTGCCGATTATTTTTTCATGCAACAGAGGTTATAAACAGTTTTCTTACACTGAATTTTGTCTCTAAGACAATAATATGGCAGTTTCACTTTATTGCGTTCTTTGTTGAATTAGCTTGACGGTCTGCAGACATGTCTGAGACAAAAAGAAGAAAACCCACTGACATTAAATCCAGGAGTATTGTTTGTATAAAAAAAAATGCTGTTTTGAATATGATGGTTACAGATGTGCTTCAGTTCAACTTTAATTTCTCAAACGGTTTTCTGAGTAAGATTTGTGGTTCTGCTCACCTTCCTGATTTTAGAAAAGCAGATGTCTTTGTCCGAGTTACATTCACAGATGTTGGTAAAATATATAAAAAAAGAACTAAGGATCATTGGCAATATTCTCTTTATCTGCTTTAGGAACAATCAGTCTCCAACAGAAGCAGGACCTTCAGGTTAAAGGTGTAAAACTACAGATGAAATTAATCAGCTCAGGCTGCTTGGAATAAGATAAACCAGGGGTCACCAACTCCAGTCCTCAAGGGCTACCATCCTGCAACTTTTAGATTGACCTCTGCTCCAAAATGTCTGAATTCCCTCACCAGCATTCATTCCTCTCTGCAATAGGCTGGAAACGAGCAGTTTATTTGATCCAGGTGTGTTTGAGCAGAGACGCATCTAAAAGTTACAGGATGGTAGCCCTCGAGGACTGGAGTTGGTGACCCCTGAGATAAACTGACCGTTAAGCCGAGCGCTTCTCCAGCCTCGCTTAATGTTCAGCAAAATTCATTTTGTTTTATTAGACTTGGAAAAAAAACTAACAAAAATAAAACAACAACTTCATTTCCCGATCAGCAGCTGCTTGTGTTAACTGATGGCAATGAAGCTTGACTTTCCCTTCATCTGTCTCACATTAAAATTTCATTATCAGCGTCTGACCTCAGAGGCGTAGCTACAAACTGCCACATTAACTCACAGAGATAGATGGATGCCGACGGTTATTAAAAAAAAAAAAGTAGAACAACGTAAACTTACAATGACACTTTGTTAATCAAAGTTAATAACAGGTTTAGTTTTCCACAGTGAGAGAACAGACTTGGGGCCATTTTCTTATATTTGGTGTCTGAATTAATACAAGTGATTTTAGTGAGGGTCTCAAGTATTCACAGATTTTAGCTACTCAGCCAACTGTCCTTCCTACGCCCCACTGGAGAACACAGTAGGCAATTTGTAAAAACAATGTTTAAACTCAAAATACATTGTTCAACAACAGTTCCAAACATTATGACCATCAGTCCAAGAAAACCCCTCAAAAAAACAGAAAATAGTTTGTTATGCAAATTTTTTAAGCTAGTAACATTGGAAGCCATTCACCTACCAGTGTGCCATGCGTGGTCCTACCTTGCAAATTCAGAACAGGCCAGTTTGCGGCATGGGAGGAAGTGTGGCGTTTGAAGACTGACTTTGTTTTTTTAAGCCCTTTCCCAGATGCCGTCTTATGGAAAGTGAGGCGTTTTGGGGTTTCCCCACATTGTTGTCCATACCTCATCAGAATCATTAAGTTTAAAATGACCATCTGACTGCTTTCAACCTCATGGTTTATAGTAAGAAACGTATTTCTTTAAGATATACATTAACAAATTATAACTGGATGGAATATGTCAGAATTTGAGTGAGTGCTCAAGATATGTCAAAACTGAAGAAAACCTAGCAAAGAGTTGAAACATTTATGTTTTTAGCTACTGAAATCAGATTCACCAAACTCTTACTTTATTTTGTACCAATACATTTGGTTATAGACCAAGATGGATAAGCACACTTTTTATGGGGCATTTAAGCACCAAAAATCACATTTACTGTAAACCGGAAGTACAGCTGCCATATAAAACTACTCATCTTTAACTGCACGTAAAAAGGCTGAAAGCTAACTTTTTGTTTCTGTATACAGCTAGCTGTTCTCTAATTGGCTGAGCTCTGACATCCCCCCCGCCCCCCCACCACCATCATGGCTCACCTGTTCCTCGCCAGCAAGATCACCATGCCGGACGACCTCTACGCCAAAGGGGGCGGAAGGATCCCGAGGAACGCCGTGAGGATACCGACGTCCATCTCGGCAGAGAGGCTGAGCCGGGAGAAGACCAGGAAGGACAGTGCTGTCGTCGTGACAACACGTATCCCGCACGTCAACGAGGTCCAGCTGACGGCGGCGACCGGCGGCGCGGAGATGTCCTGCTACCGCTGCGTGGTGCCGTTTGGCGTGTTTGTCCTCATCGCCGGCGTCGTGGTGACGGCGGTGGCCTACACCTTCAACACCCATGGGTCCACCATCTCCCTGCTCGGACTGGTGCTGCTTTCTGCAGGGCTGGGCCTGCTGGGATCCAGCGCCATCTGCTGGAGGCTCCGACTGAGGAAGAAGAAGGACAAACGAAGGGAGAGTCAAACCGCCCTCATGGTCAGCCAGGGTTACTGCGTACCCTGATCTCCTTGAAGTTTGGACAGTCAAACCTCAAGCTCTTCATTTCATGCAGCAGATATCTTTAACGGTTTATAACTGAATGCACCACACAGATGCCATACTACGTCACCAGGTTAACAGCTCATAACCCCTGTCCTTCATGCTCAACGACTGAAGAAGCAAGCGGTGCCTCGGTGGACACCTGACGGTCTGTGAAGGCCAAAAAAACGAGTTCCCTGAAAGCTGATGGAGGAAATGAGACCAGTTGGTCTCTGAACCAGAAGTTTGGTTGGAGCTAACTAATTTCACGTGACCAAATAGTTAGAATGTCGGTTCATAAAAAAAAACAAAAAAAAAAAAACTAAAGATTTCTTGAAACTTGTGATGAAGCAAGATGACAAAACCACAAAATTAGTTAAAAAAAAACCTGTAAATCATTGACCAGTCAATCACTGAGGGTGAAGTGCAAAGTCTTCTCTTTTGTTCCTAATAAAGACGTCAGTCTCGTTAAAACAAACATGACAAGAGATCAGTATGATCTGGCTTGGAGGTGTACAGTTTATACATATTATACATTGATAAGCTATACACACAGTTAGAATGGTACTCTACAATATGTATGTTGAGCCACTTTTTTGTTTCTCTCTGAATTGGGCTCATTTGTGACCTCTGTTCATTCGTCGGAGGTTCCGTCGCACCCCGTTGGAAATGCATCATTTAAACCGAGGGTGAATACAGAGAAGTTTCTGAAGACGTTTCCTCTCTGCTGTGGGGATTTGCTTCACAGAACCGACAACATGGCTCGTTAATGCCACTTTGAGAAAAGTGTAAGTGATCTTACAGAATCATGTAGCATTTCTTCAAACAGGGTGAACGGAAATAGGCACTGCTGGTCTTGTTTTTGTTTTTCTGGAAGATTCTAAAGGGTAATAGTTGATAAAGCAGTGAAATGAAAACTAGAACTGACGATGCAGGTAACTTTTTTTTTTTTTTTTACCATAAAAAGATGTGCAGGTGTGTGCAGTGTTTTACTTTATGACTGAATACCTGAGTGTTGAGGTCACAGCTGGGCCCAATTTCTTGCATGCATGCCTGTTTTGTATGACACGTGCACTAAGTTATGTCACACAGATATTCCTCCGTTATAGCTCGATTTTATTTATTCTGTCAGTGACTGGAACTATAACTATTAAAACGAAGATCTGGTGCCAAAACAAACCCGACTCCTGTTTTCCTCTCGCAGATCCGATTTCCAGAGAGCAGGTCGGGAGGGCCGACCGTGAGGTTATATTTAGCTGTCTTCATTTTGCTTTGCATATCCCTGATAAAAAAAAAATGGGGGTCTGGGGGCGAGGTTGCGTCACTCGGAGGTGGCGACAGCTAAGCGATTGCAACGGCGAGCTAACTTTATCTCCGCAGTGTCTTGGGGAATGTGGGCAGAGAGTGGAAGCAGAAAGCATCACCTCAGACTCATTCGACACCTCGGAGGAGGCGCCTCTGCTCTGAAAACAGATGCAGAAAATGCAGCGGCAAGACGAGCCCACACACACAGATCGGATTTTCTACAGTTCGGGCCTCCTACGATCTGTGGTGGAGCTGACAGAAAGGCGGGCTTTCCGGATGAGTCACTGGAAAGTTTCCAGTTTCCTAAAGTGCTGGCATAACTAAAGGTTAACACAAATTTTGTTTTCCTTCCAATCGGGAGGATTGATTTTTACACGTAAGTAAATGCTGTAGTCTCCGATGTTTCCAGATCCTCGCTGCGCCTCTGGAGGTCACTGGCTCCTGTGTGAAGTGGGGTGGGGGGGAAATCCCAAACTTCCCTTCTCTTCCTGTAACATCGTGACCAGTTGAAGCCACCAGAGGTGTGTCACATATGCAGTGTCACCCCCCCTCTTCCTCAACTGCTCCCTGTTTTACTGAACCTCATCCCAGGCCGAGAGTTGGGAAAAGAGCCTGGCACGCTAAGAGACCGGAATCGGCAGCGTGGTAAACAGGAAAGATTTTCTACCCAGAAACGCCCTTTGGAAAAAAAAAAAAAAAAAAAAAAGAAAAATAAGGAAGTTATTAATTCCTCTGCAGGCGTGAGACTGTCTTGTCATTGAAGTAGAGGTGAGGTCATCTAAGGGGGAAAAAAAATGAACCTTGACCCAGTTTTAATCTGTAGCCCCTGATTCCATCGTTCAAGTATAAACATTCAGGGGTTGCAGATGCCAGATTGCGGGAATAAGAAAAGATGACAATCGCATAAAAAGAATCAGCTAAGTACACACCAGGCACCTGGGGAAACAGCGAAACTCCACACAGAAAGACGCCATCTGGGATTGGATCCTTCTTTAGCAGAACAGTCCAAATCAGCCGCTAAATGGGTCAAAAGTTAAAACGTTGAAAGAAATGAACACATTTACAAACACATGAAAGATAATTAAATGAACTAATTGACAAAGTAACAAAACTTACAATTTATTTTAGAAACAGAAAATGTCCTGGCTGGCGGAAAATTACCAGGATATTTTCCGTCAATTGTACAAACATTTCCGTTAACGATTTTTTATTCATTTATTTAGGAGTTTCAGTTAATCCAAAGCTGACATTTTCTGTATAGTATATATCCAGGGTACATTATTGTATTTTATTTTTTTTTGTACATCTCACAAACATTGACATGCAGTAGAAAATACAATAAAAACACCTGTTGAAAGTCTTAACTGAAAGTTCCTTCACACTTTAACAGTACATGTACCCATTTCTTACATATTTTTGGGGGTTTTTTAAGCACAGTTGATGGCACTAATGATTATGGAAGCCGAGAAAGCCGTTTTTATTGAAATATGGCTTAATCTGACTCATAAATGTTCCGGAAGCTGCACCGATAAGCAGCTCATTAGAGCATTGTGTCTGCAGAGTGTCAGCGTGGGCCGGGGCGAGAGCCAGCTACCTGCCAGGAGCTGGTCCTGACAGCTCCCAGGATCCTTAATGAGGGTGGAAGTCAGTGAAGTTGTCAGTAGGAGGCAGCACAGCTCATTACGGGCTCTTCCCATTCCCGGCGGCAGAGCCAGAATCTTCTCAGCCCTGACTGCACAAGTCGCTACAGGAAATCCTTCTTCTTATTAAATCAATAACATTTGGTAATAGCTGCCAAACAAGTAAGTATCATTTGTTTATTATAGGTAAATAACCTATAATAATTTTCAACATGTACCTTCAGAATCTTTTTTTTTTTAAAGAAATATAGAACAAGTATGCAGCTCAGTTCATTTGGTATTAAAGCACAATCTGATAAATATTAGCCATTTTAAAAGAAAGAAAAACAGTTGTTTTTTTCTGAATTATCATTATGTGGTTATAGTTCCTGGTGGTTTGTGTTCAACTCTTGAGTTCAGAAGCATGTTGCATGTTATTGTCAGTTTCTTGACAGATGGCTGATTTTCATGTTGGAGTCACCGGATAGCAGCATCCGAACTTGAAATTGTGTACTCTATACCTTCTTAACTGTTAGATAACATTTACAATTTGTTTGAATTTAAGTTCTTAGGTAAGTAAGGTTTTTTTCTGAGACTGGTAGCTGCTATCTTTACTAAAGATTGCCGCTGTCAGGGTTAGCTAGCTCTACCACAGCATAGCAGATAGCCTGGCTAGCTAGCTTCAGCTAATTCCAGTTTGCTAGCCTCCCTCAGTCATAATCTGAAATTAGAAGAATGGCAAAAATGTATTTTATTCTGCACAACAAGCAGCTTTACTTGAAAATTATTACTAAGTTTAGTGGTTGTAAACATCTTTGTTTAAATTTCAGTATTTTACCAAACAATCAATATCAAAAATGTAAATAAATGGCATGTGTATTATTATCACAACCGCAATGATTAGCATGTTGGCTCTGTTTTTCTTGTCTTTCTTTTTGGCTTTAAAAGAAACATTTTTTGACCACTTTTGATGCTTAGTGGGTGTTGTTGGTTGTTCAAGATTTAATGTAGGGCATCTTTCAGATGGATGTAGATCAGTATTTTTATGGGATGTAAAACAATGGTTGGAACTGTTTTCTCGAAGGATTGGATTGAGAAACAAAAAAATCCAACCACACATCACAGAGCTTTAGTTGGTGCCTCAGGTTGTAGGATCCACTCAACAGCCCATTAATAAAGAACAGAGGAAAATTGGAGCAGACAGAAAGTTTTCAGATACCCTGAAACTTTTCGTCTGCTCCAGTATGACTCTGACTCTGAATTAGAGGTGTTTCTGAAATCTTCCATGTGTTCTCTTCTCATACACATCCCAGCATACCATCATCATCAGTCAGCTCATGTCTTAGGGATCGTTGTGTTGGCGTACGTGGGGTCGAATCTGCTGGTCTCAGTTCCCCCAATCCTGATCTACAAAGACTCAGTCTGCGTGTCTGAGCAGGGAAACGACAGCAGACCACAACGGGAATCAAACCGAGCTGCCATTCTCCTCGGACACAATGCGAGCTTCCTGCGTTGAGGCGGCGCAGCCGCACGTTCGCTCCTTATCTGCGGCAGCACCGCAACCAACCATTCTCCCAACAAGTCTTTAAATCCCTCGGCACGTCGACAAGCGAGAGAAGCACTCGCGGAGAAAAAGGTTCTCGGGTTTTTGACGGATGAGGGGGAAGTGCCGCTCCCTGGTTAATGGGGCCGTTTGGGGCCCCCCGCGCCATTGTTGTGCTTCTGGTTGGTCTCCTTTTGGAGGCTGGAACCAGCGTCTATCGCAGGATCTCTCCCTGCCACACCATCCTGCGTCTGCCACTGCTTAGCTAAACAAGCTTGAACTAAAACAAACTTCAGGGCGTGCTCCAGTTTGGAAACCAATTTGTTTCTGAAGTGCAACCTTCCCTCACATCCTGCAAAATCTGCCCATCCATCTCCAGTAATCTGAGCATGTTTCTGTTTGAGGGGCGTCTCGTCGTTAAAACCTCGCTGCTCGTAACCCTGGCGGCATCCTGCCAGTAATATCCTACAGAATCTGCAGGGTTCATGATATAAAAATAAATTTAAAAAATGTCTGTGCACAGGAACATAGGATCACTTGATCTCTAGCCAACAACAGATTTCCAGAATGTCTGCGCAATAAACCAACTTCCTGCAGGTCATCTCAAAGTGCATATTCATTTTTATTCAAAGGAAGGATATGAAGCCTTAACCTCCCGTGCCTCATAACCTCTAGAGTTCAAAATCATTTCCTGGCTGAAACATCCTACGCAAGATTAAGAAAACAGGACAATCTCTCAATTTTAGGCAACGGCATGAATCTCCGCTCTGTCAGTTCAAAAACAATGAAACCTGAAACAGAACTGTTAGGGCCGTATAGCTACGCGTCTGGTTTGAAATGGCAACAGCTTTTGTTTTGGAGTCCGAATGAGCAGCAGGACAATGGGGAATGAATGTTCTGGAGGAGATTCCTTTGACAGATGTTGAAACACATCTGGTGTTAATCAGAGGAAAATCAAGGCAGTGATATATTTCTATCTAGAAATACAAGTGCGCAATGTTGATTTCTGGCTCGGGATGCCACAGAGTAAATAAAGTTTTTGATGGGTAATGGGTTTTAGCTATATAGCAGAAATACCTCCTGAGATTTAATTACCTCTTCTGAGTCCTTCAGCTTTACTCCAAGAATCCACTGGCAAACAGAGAACTCCCGAAGCTGCAAAAAACTGCAACAATTAAACTCATCATGGTGGACTTACTGTTTAAGAAACAGGAGTTTCATTTATTTCACTGCTATGTCCTTTTTTGGACTTACACCAATGTTAGGACAGACAACCAGGCAATAACAACCTACTTATACTTGTACTGATAAGAATAAAATGATGTCTAAAGTCATGGAGAAAAAATGTAGCTGTCATGTTTTTCCAATTGATGAAGCTCACGTTCCTGTCTAGGCTCCATCTGATTTCCAAGAAAACTTGCTCAAAATGATCAAAGTGTAGATTTGAAGTCCGCAGAAAGTCGACGACCTCTCTGCTGACCCTGTTCTATGATTTGAAGCTGTCTGCCTGTGAGTTGATTTCAGTTTCAATTGCTTGAGTTTTATTTGTCTTTTATTGCTGGTTATGCATTGTAGGTTCCTAAACAATGAAGCCATAAGCTTGACGCTCTCCGTCCTTCCCCCTTTGGTTCACTCGATGACAAAAACGACAAAAAAAAAAAATAGACTGGGTCCTCTTGATAAAGGTTAACGGTTTACTTCAAAAATA